ACGTCATATTTGTCTTTTCTATTTTTTTCTTACATACATACAAATCTTTCACTGGGCAGCTTAATTATATTCATGTAAAAGTTGCTTTTCAATTATTTTGCATCAAAATAAAATCCATATTATCTAAAATGAATGCTTTATAATCTCACTTTCGTTTTGTAGTCAAAATGCATCTCATTTTTTGCTTAATACTCAACTTATATATAGATAAACTGATAAATAAACTTTAAAATTATCATTTTAAATATTAAAACTTTAGGAATTCTAGAAAGAGGAATTCTAAGTCAATCATAACTTAATTGGACAGTGGAATGTATATGTAGCTGCATATAACCGTAAATCACACAATTAGGTTCTTAATAATTTTCGGAAGAGAGCTATCAAACTTGGCATGCTGGGAGATTATGGCACCATTTGCCCAGCCTGTAAAAATAATATCTGTGTCAGTGCGTTGAGTGCCATTAATTTACGACCGTGTTTTTCATTTCTGATTTCGTTAAAATTGCAAATGTTCTGTTGCAAAGTATCTTAAAAAATGGAGTATTTTACAGTAAACATATTGGTTAAAACGACTAAAATACAAAGGTACAAGATTAATTCCCATGAATTTATAATGTTGATAAATGTGTGATCTGAATTTTTTCAACCTAAACAATGTTAGGTACTTACTTACTTAGCGCTAAATACATTGTTTCAATGACAAAGCCATTTTTTTTAAAGAAAATAAAAAAGTCAAAAAGCGGATAAGGCTTCTTATCTTTTATGTTAAAATTAAGATTAAGCACAGGGAATTTACTGTTCCAAATTCTTTAAGGCATACCGTTTAGATGTTCTGTTAACTTTATTATTAACAAGCATTTCGTCTAGCATTTTGTTTATATGCTTCTCCTACATACATCAGACTTTTGTTTTCATGAAACATTGAAATAATTTGCTAACCTGGAATGTAAAACTAAATGTGGATGCTAAAACAAACAAAAAAGTTAAAATACACTTTTACAAAGAAAAATAAACTTTTTAAAGCTCGATGGCGTTATTCCTAAAACTACTATAAATATACTTCATTTACTTAAAAAGTTTAAATGGTAGATGTCCTCTATATCAGCCTAAGCGAATATTATAAGCTCATGCAAAAACAAAAGAGAACCATATTTCAAAAATTACTGTTTGTACCATTCATAGTCGCATAGCATGTATCATCGAAAACCGAAAATATGGGAACATGAGATTTTTAGCGATGAATCGTTTTTTTTTGTATTCACAGACTAACATTAGAGTACTTTCCTTTACAGTAAAAACAACGGTATTACATATTGAAATGAAAAAAAAATGTAATAGGTATCTCCCTTTAACATTTTTTTAATATCAAATTCCCTGGCGGGAATTTTTTGATTTGGTTACGTTTAACCTAAATATTAAATAGCGTAAGGTTTAAAGGGTATACCAGTTATGGCTACAGACCCTATTATGATTTATGGGAATTTAGTATGACATTATATGCAGGGTTAGGTGAGGCAAGATGGGTCGCGGGACAAGATAGATCAGTTATTTGAGTTATGTATTTATTTGTTTATCAACATCGGCAGGTTTAATTTAGCACAATGGTGGTTTAATTTGTCAAACAATTATTGGGGTAAATTGTACCTGCTGATGTTGACAATTAAATAACTAAATACATTAAGCAACAGACCCATATTTCCACACCTTACCCTACGTATCATAATAGGAACGTATAGCCTTTACTGCAACAGTTACTCTTTATTAACACACAGAGTTCCCGCACTTTATTGCCTTCCCGAAATAATCGTAGTCACCCGAGCAACAACGAATATCTCGATACCATGAATAATTGTTATGGATTAGCATGACATAAGAGGTAAAATATCAAAAACATGTTCCCACAATACCATCCCTAATAAAAATGTTGCGATTAATTTGCTTTACGACGTGTTCGGGGTATCGTCCAAACCATTTGTGGAATAGTTCAATCATTTGGGTTATCGTTCGATTATGATAATTTTTATTAGGGATTTCAATAGCAAATTATGCAAATGAAATACCAAAACGATACCTTACAATTATTCTGTTGGTATCCAAATATCAATTTTTGTTATTTACAAAGCATTTTGCATGCAATTTTTTTGGTATTATTCTTTGGTATTTTACCTCTTATTTCAGACTGATCAACACCAAATGTTGGTATCAGGTCAGAATCCGGCATTAATAAGTTATTTTCTCCTGCTCGGGCAACCTCATTTTACGCCTCTATCAACTGACATGTTGATACTTGACAACTGCTTTTTATACTGAATGATAAAGCCGGAACCACAATACTACGTCAGCATCAGCGTTCCATTCCACTTTACTCTATTCCATGTGCTAGATCAATGAGCTACATAGCTTCACCTCGGTAATTCTTCTCATTGGTGCTGGATGACGTTTGATCAATTTTTAGTTTGCTCGGCGTGCAGATTAGCGGGATTCAAACTAAAAATTGTTTAGATTAAGAACGGTCAGATTACCGAGGGTTCACGGTAATCGATTTTCCCAAATTGAGTGCGCTTTACTTCCTTAAAAGAAAGTCAAATTATTATAAAAGTAACTCAAACATTGATTAAACTAGCCCAAATTTTGGCAAAAAAGGCTTGCCTGTATTGATTTGTAACGTTCTATACATTATTCCACAGATTGTTGTCGAAAAATATAAGTTTTGTTTACATCCACATGAGCGGTGAATGCTCGGGTGAATGAAGAACCAACCTCAATCGAGGGTTCCGTTTACCGCCTCTTTTTAAAAAAAAGGTAATAGGGTATACGTCCCTAACCTCGGTCTAATATGCAGCCATCGATTACGTTTTTAATCATAACTCATCAATGAATTTACCTGCAAACGATATTCTACTGCTAAATGGTATGCTTAGATATGCTTATCATGTCGTTTGCTATCAGAAACCACGAAAAGTTGAAAAACTTACTTTTTTTAAGACAATAACTCACGAGGGAAATGTATGTAATATGGGTCTATTGTCCCCAAATTGGGTCTATTTATGGATGCAACTTCGTCCTATCTTGTTTGATCCTCAAAAAAACGCTCTTGGTAACGTTTTCTGATGTATTTTTTTTTATCACTATCACTGTTAACTTAATGCTCTTCATTCCTCAAAACATTTCTTAGAGAAAATTTTACGAAAACTACATTAAATCACTCAATTTAAAAATTAAAAATTAAAAATTTCGCTTATCGTCTTTTGACCGCAGAATATCTAAATCAGAACATTGTGATGTTCATTATACAGGTTTGGCAGAAAAAATCTCCCTTCCTGTTCGTTCCTTATCATCCAAATGCAAAACAACATTGTTGACGTTACTCTTATTGCTATATGCTGTCAAATGAATTTCATGGGCCATAGTTAGGAACATAGAAAAGAAATGTGTCCCTAAAGTTGGGTCCATGTTTTACTTGTGAAAACGTTGTTAAACAATTAAAATAAACATAAAATATTCAAACAGCAACTGTAAGTTTTACGTCTAGTGTGTATTATCAGGTAATTCCAATCAATAAATGCCATAATCAGGCCATTTGATGATCGTCAGTCAACCTTCCCATCTTAACCTTATAAGTCATGGCGGCTAAAAACTCCGAACATTGTGATATTCTCAACCAGTTTTATTACTTACGAGAGCTGAAAATGTATTGAAATGTTGTGATATAAATTGATTTGTGTGTGGTACACATTTATCAACCATCAGTGATCAATATTTTCCTTATTTTTTGTGTAATATTCCTTAATTAATTATTTATTTGCGTGATAGGCCGAATGAAAGGACTAGACCCACATTACATACCGTAACCCTATTTCCACCATGCAATGAGCGGTGAATGGAACCCTTGTTTCTAATATCACCCCTATTCTGTATTTCGTTCGAAACGAAATTCTTACACAAAAAAATAATTTTTTGTATGGGAATTTCGTTTCGAACGAAATACAGAATAGGGGTGTATGTCTCAAATTTATTATTGATAGCATTTTTTGGAAGTTTTATATTTTTCCTGTATTCCTAAGATAATAACCTTCAAGATAGTGTAAACATAGTCTCTATACACCTATACAAATTATTTTACTATTGTTGCAAAAATCATTTTGCTATAAACTGAGTGGTGAACGGGCACCACACGGTACATCGGTTCTTTTTCCTTGTAATTTTCCGAAGATGAACCAGCGTCTGGCTGAAAATCTCCTTAATAAAGACAACCAACCACCAATCCTTGTAATTAAATATAGGGAAAGTAGGATATGATCGCCATATGGGGCAAAACTAGGTATACCTAGACTCACGGGTAGACTCGAAATCACAACTTAGCCGGCGACGTTGGTGTAATGGTAAGCGTGACTACTTTCTCATCCCAATGGGTCTGGGTTTAATCCCAGCCGAGGTTGATGGGATTTTCGTCAGGCATAAAAATCTCTGGTCACGTCTTACTTCGGAAGGGAAGTAAAGCCGTTGGTCCCGGCCCATGTTCGTTGAATGGGTGCGATATCCTACGCAGGTGTGGAAGCTGCCCTCCTGCACATTCGATTGCCGTCAATGGATGGCAATTGATATCCGTCGGTGATTGGCGGAACAGAGACCGACGTTAAATAAAGTAAATAATAATTAATTTTCCTGAACAAAGTTGTACCATGCAAGCACCGTATTCTGAACGGTTAAGAAGATCTCAACGTAAGATCATAATGAAAAGAATGTTGCTATTTAAAAAGTATTTCCTCTCATAGTCATGTAGACTGCTCATCTTCTTTTTTCTTCTTTTTTGCAGGGAACGGGAGCAGGGAAAAGCCACATGTTATAAAATAAATCTAAATGTATAATGAATCAAATTTTATATAGAAAGCGAACCTGCGTTCCATATTTTGAACACTTGATTTTGAATCCAACTGGGGAAAGCCTTTTAGGAAAGCATTTTTTTTCTGAGATTTGTATGAAATCCTTCACGGTAGCTCTCAAATGATGTATGTAGATGGGAAATTCAGGTTTTATTGGAAACGCCTTTACCAGCTACAAAAAGTCGCAAACTGTACTCTTTTTGTGTGGCTTTTTAAAAGTTCAGTATTAAGGCACAAAGTGGGAAAAGTGTGAAAACACATTTACGAGATTTCACTAACTGAAACCATCGATAGATGTAGAAAATAACTGACTTGTTAATATCAGGCAAAAGTGTAGTGAAATTATTTATATTTAACATATTTTGATCAATACTTTAACTCCAGCGTGTTATTTGTTTTATTTACATTTTTTCGTCAAATATTGAAGTGAATCAGACTTTTTTTGTAATGAAGATATACACAACACAAGTAAAGGAATATAACGTTATTTCAATTAATGTTCAAACATTTTAAGTGCGTTTTGCCGTTCATAATATGGAGCTCTTCACAATATGGTGCTTGCACGGTAGCTCTGAAAATTTCACATAAGTATAGATAGCTAACTTTTCCGTATATCATATGGCGAAAAAAAAGGATGAGTACAAAAAAGAAAACTTTTCCATAGTAAATTCCATATACACTTCAAAGGGTCAGAGCAGTACGAGTTTGCATCCAAATGAGCTGATTTTTTTAATGATCAGAAACTGATTTGAAATCGATTGAGTGGGGTGGAACAAAATCGATATTTTGTACCACTATTACAATACTGCCCTTTTCAGCATAGTTGTCAGCAAGCTGAGAAAAACGCTGTTGAAGATTTTTTTATCCATGGGCTCTTATGGATGGGACAACAAAGTTTTGGTATTTTTCGCGACATTTTCTGAACAAAGAAACTTCTCGTGTACATAGTAAAGTGATGGTACTTGACAATCGATTCCAACGTTTAACTCATTTTCGCTAATGCTAATGGGACTGTTATGCCGCACAGGGCCGTATAGTACGCTTTTGTAAAAATGTGGAAACACCAAAATCAGAAGTGTTTACTTTTAGATAAGAAGACTGAAAAAACGTTAAAAACGCACCGCGTAAAAGCTGGCTCCAGTTTAAAATAAAATTTATGTATTCCAGCATTTGGTCCGCGATTTAAAAATGTTGAGTTGGCCTGCACTATAGTCTTCATATTTTAATGATAGGGGAAATGAACATAAAACGATTACAATTAGCATTAACCCACAATTGATCAAGCACCTTAAAATTAAACCGCGGGGAACTCTATGTATTTCATATTACCTATAATATTAGGGTATCTATGCCTATTTTATGTACACCACATTATAAAATTATCCTGAGGAAATGATGTGTTGATTTTTCTACAGTTGCCGCAGTGCGTTTTCTGCTCTTACACCAACAAATCATTTTTATCATGGTCCAAACTGCTAAACGGTTGTTTCTTCATCGTCGTTCTGTCCGCTAAGAAAAGTAAATTGATATAATAAAGTTTAAGAATGTTATAGTTAATTAAGGTACAATTCAAACAAATAGCAATTGTTTTTTATACAGTTTTTTATTGCAAACATCGAAATATGGAGACGTGTTAGTCAAGCTTAATCTACTATCAAAGACAACATATTGAGAAGACCGTCAAATCTGCTGGACTCGAAAGGAGAAATACAGTGAGCAAGGCATGCACTACATAGCAGCATGATGAAACATTTAATTAATTTATCTTTATTAGGGAGGCTTTCAGCCTTGGGCTGGTTCGCCTCCCAAAATGATGAAACACGCAAATCTCGTTATTTCCTTAAAATGATAGATAGCGCTAGCATTAAGAAGGTATTAAAGTGACCAGTAGGGTGGGTCAACATTACAACCTCCTGTTCCTCACTGCTCATTCGATCTGTATTGAAGTCGCCAACAGCTGTGTCAAATTTGAACGAATTTGGATGCTATCTAGATTTGTCCTAGAACTTTAAAATTTGAATGGAAACGGAAATAAGCCTAATATCGAAAAAGCAGTTTGGAGCAGTGGGTTGTGATCCGCCATACAAGCTTGACCCACACTAGTGACCCCCTTAATAAAAAAAACATAAACGAACGATAACCAGGGGTTCGAGAGGTTTGATTACAAAAAGGGGTTGAGGCCTTTCCAATTGTTGGTCATTAAATTATAGAACTATTCCACAACTGGATTGGACGATAACCCGAACACTTTGTTAAGCAAAATAAACATACACATTTTATTATTGCAGTCTTCTTGATATGTTATATTCGCTACTATGCAATACTAAATAAAAAAAAGATAGTGTACAACAACAAAATATAACAGAGTAAGGTTTGGCCAGCTAATACATTAATTAATTAATTAATTAATTTGATAATCAAAATCAAGAGATTCAATGCAACCCCAATGATAGTTTGCTTTTTGAAACCAGCATTGGGGCTACATTGACAATAAAAAATTCAAATAGATGACCCGTAGGGTAGGTGTTCCAGTAGTAGTGGTATTCTTATATAGGTACGGTATGGGGTTTATGTCAAAATAATGTATGACATTTCCCGTAAAGCCATTACTCGGAAGACCATTTCCTGGAAAACCCGTTTTCCAAAATTTCTCATTTTCCAAGATTAGTTTTTACAGAAAACAAGAAAATGTATCAATTTTTGGTGCGCTTAGTGAAGACAGCTAAGTCTGCCATTGCAGACCATCCACATCACCCTAGTGACGAAGTTTTGGAAACGGTAGTTATAGAAGCAGAGTCGATAACCAACTCCAGGCCCCTTGCGTACATTCCTCTTGAGTCGATGGAACTGGAGTTACTAATTCCAAACCGCTTCTTGTTCGGTACAAAAGTCACAACTGAAGACATCAACGAATGTGGAAGGAAATACCTTGCGACAGCTGGCGTCTCGCACAGTGATTGGTGAACCGCTTCTGGGTTTGCTGGATTCGAGAGTACGGCGTATCAAGTGCTTCGAACCGGTCAAGCCGTTGAAAGCAGGAGACCTTGTCCTCGTTGTGGATGAATGTAAGCGGAACGGTTGGTTAAGGGGTAAGACCGTGGACGTGATTAAGGCGGTGGATGGAAAAGTTCGGCGAGCAATTGTGCAGACGAATAACGGATTACTCAACAGATTTTCAGTAAAGTTAGCACTTCTGGATCTTCAGATACCTGGAGACGATCCGAAGCTTCACGGGCAGGGGGATGTTACGAAACCGCAGGGCTGATTGGGACAACAGTTGAGTGAGTTCAGTACCACCCGTAGCTGTCAACGCGAGAACCCTTATACCAAATATATTATATTAACAATATGATCCACTCTTCCGCTTAGCTGGCGAACCAAATTTTTAGCGATGAAAGCACCTCTGTGGCCAAAAAGGCTACCAATGCATTTGTTTATCGTCACGAGGGGTAAACCAAATGAAAATTTGTTTAAAATTTCAAATAAATGTATTTCAGCATATTATTGTATTTGATGACAACAGTAACATGTCAGGCAAATTTTAAAGTAATATACACAATGTAATTAAAGGGTGATACGGTCAAAATTTGGTCAATATCAACTTGACGTATTTCTTTCAATTTTGCATTTAAAAAACCTGAACACCCCTCATTTTGAAGGTGTGTGTGTGTAGAATGTTGCTCCTATTTTGATTTTGGAATTCACTCTTCAGTTGTCAAAATGCCGTCCAAGCAAGAAGAGCAGCGTATCAAAATTTTGCTCGCGCATCGCGAAAATCCGAGCTACTCGCACGCAAAGTTGGCAAAATCGCTAAAAGTTGCCAAATCAACCGTTACAAATGTAATTAAAGTGTTTGGGGAACGTTTGTCGACAGCCAGGAAGTCTGGATCGGGGGGAAATCGAAAACCGGAAGCCGCTGAGACGACAAAGAGAGTTGCCGGTAGTTTCAAGCGAAACCCTAACCTCTCTCTCCGAGATGCCGCAAATAAGCTGGGTGTATCGTCTACAACCGTGCATCGAGCCAAAAAACGAGCCGGACTATCGACTTACAAGAAGGTAGTGACTCCAAATCGCGATGATAAACAAAATACGACGGCCAAAGCGCGATCCCGGAGGCTGTACACGACGATGCTGACGAAGTTTGACTGCGTGGTAATGGACGACGAGACCTACGTCAAAGCCGACTACAAGCAGCTTCCGGGACAGGAGTTTTATACGGCAAAAGGAAGGGGAAATGTAGCAGATGTTTTCAAGCACATGAAACTGTCAAAGTTCGCAAAGAAATATCTGGTTTGGCAAGCCATCTGTACCTGTGACTTGAAAAGCAGCATTTTCATAGCTTCCGGGACTGTCAACCAAGAAATTTACGTGAAAGAGTGTTTGAATAAACGTCTGCTGCCTTTCCTGAAGAAACACGGTTGTTCCGTACTGTTTTGGCCGGATTTGGCATCTTGCCATTACGGTAAAAAGGCCATGGAGTGGTACGCCGCCAACAACGTGCAGGTGGTTCCCAAGGACAAGAACCCTCCCAACACGCCAGAGCTCCGCCCAATTGAGAAATACTGGGCTATTGTCAAGCGGAACCTAAAGAAGACCAAAAAACTGCTAAGGGTGAGCAGCAGTTCAAGGCAAACTGGCTTTCTGCGGCGAAGAAGGTGGACAAGGTGGCTGTACAAAATCTGATGGCAGGGGTCAAGCGTAAGGCCCGGCAATTCGGATTTGGAAAAGCGGAAGCCTAACTGAATATTTTTCCTGAATTTTATACTAATTGAACTTGAAAAAGAAATTTAATTTGATTTTTTAAATAAACGATTTCACCGATTTACACGCGTTTTCCCTTGACCAAATTTTGACCGTATCACCCTTTAATAAAAAATAATGCGACTCTTACTTTTGTAATAAGTGCTATATTCGCACCCCTCGATTGTTATTGAATGATTGTTGCTGACCTTTTTCAACGCTACATGGTGCGTGAAGCAATATTTTGCGGGTCGCCATTGCAATATTTGGAAAAGGCTTGAATGGATCATATTGTTAATATGATATATTTGATGTAAGGTAAGGTGTGGCAAGGTGGGTTAATGCAACCCCAATGATGTTTTGCTTTTCCAAAGCATTGAGGTTACATTGAGTCTGTTGATGTTGACAAACAAATAAAAATCATGTAGATGACCCATCTTGTCCCAGGTACCTACAGCAAATGGTAGCACATAATAATTCGCGTGTGATTTTATAATTTGGCCAATTCTGCGCGGTGTGTGAGGTGAGGTGACACGCTGTCACTTGTGAAGTGACAATTGTCACCTCGGGTGAGGTGACTCTCTATTTAATTTGCACGGAGAGTCACCTCATCCGAGGTGACAATTGTCATAAACTTTCTGTGAAATAATCGTAGTAGATAAAGGTGAGTTTGGTAGTAGTATTTAGTACTTAAACCATGCATAGAGATAAGTTAATGCATCAGAACCTGGACGGACACTTGCGCCCACCCGGGGGAAGACCCGGATACGACCACCCATGTGAGCCTAGAGTATCGCACGAGCTGACGAGTGCAACGGGAAGGACAGTAGGTGTATAGACTAGGATGTTGGTCCCTAGATACGCCGACTAGCGGAAGGCACGGCACCATCACTTCACTGTCACCTCACCTCACCAGGCCTAAATCCTTAACTTATGGGCTTAGCAAAAAAAAAACTTATAGATACGTATTATTGACGGATATTATGTTAAAAATAATGGAACAATATATAAATCCGTGAGCGCTAAAGAAAAAACTACACGTCTTAATCAAACAGTTAAAACCAAATATACTTCTACTATCTCGCACCTTTTCATTACCAGTGTTCTCAAGATTAATCCAGACTCTTTAGGCGATCCCAACACCATCTGTTTATTATTGAAGAATGTTAAGAAATTAATTTAAGCATATAATTACTTGTTTTCGTTAAATCTCGGAGATGAACTAGCCTACGGCTAAAAATCTCCTTAAGAGGAAGCTCACCGGCCCAAAAATAAAAAATAAAATATTTTCGGTACGTTTTTATTTTTCTAAAAATAATGGGAAAAATTATCAAAAATCCAAGAAAATCAGTTTCTTCCTTAGATTTTTGTCAAAAATTACATGCAAAAAAATTTTTTCTATCCCATCATGAAAAAAAATTGGACTCTCAGAAAAACCGAAAAGTTGATGTTTTGTGGTTTTTTGAGTCCAACTTTATGCCATAATGACTTATAAAACATGTTTTTGCACGTGAATTTTCTTTAAAAAATTAGAAAAAATGTGATTTTTTTTAGATTTTTGATACTTTTTTTCAATATTTTTAGAAAAATCAAAACGTATTTTTTTTTCGGAGCGGTCTGCTTCCCCTTAATAATAAAGAAAACAAAAAAATGTTTTCGTTAAAACAAAAACATATGGAAACTTACTCGTTATTATCGTTTATGTTCGTTAGCGGCGCCATCGGTTGTAACGAGGATGGATTGTTGAACCGGTGAATTGTTTGACCCGTCATGTCGTTCGTTCTCATTGTAGTGTGACTTGAATGATCTTCTTCCGCTGTATAGGGAAAATTGTATGGATTTTTGTCTGAACCTTCCGACATCCGATCGGAATCAGCCCCGTGCTTATGTCGTTGGTAATCATTTTTTAATAGAGATTGAACACTCGATTTGAATGAGCCATGTGCATCGGCTCTAGGACTATATAGGTCAGGATCAATACGTTCCTTTGACATGTAAGGCGATTCGGCTTTAAAACCTAATGTCCTAGATCTTTCGTAAATGGACTCTTTGAGAACATAAGGATTTTCATGATTGTATGGACGCATGTGATTGATCACCTGCGTAGATCCGGACAGATGATTCACTGCCCCACCAGACATATACGGCAATGTATTATGCTGGTGATTTCCTTCATAATCTCTGTATCCGTCTGTATACTTATCGCTACCATGGTTGCTGTATTTATCACTTCTTAAATCTTGATTAGAGTAATTATAGCTCTCTTGGATATTCTCTAGTATGGAAGGAGGCATGTTCATCCGATTTTGGTGTAAATATGATGTATCAGTTAGGTCAGGACTGGGCAAGGCGTTTGGAATTCCGGAATTGTGCGGATGAACCTCATTATCAGATCCAGTTTCCTGTGACCAACGTCCAACTAGAAAGATAGGTTGTGTCAATTATTCAAAATAGCAAAACAAAAATAACGTGTGTATGAATATAAGCATAATATTACCATTCGGTCCAGGCAGATACGATTCTGGAGCTTGACTGGACCACCTCGTAGAGTTGATATTAGGAAAAAGCTGGAATAATAAGATATACGTATAAAATTTTGCACTGCTCACTGTTATTATGCGTTTTACTAATCTGCCCATACAAGCATAACATATTTTTGTCAGAAATGAGTTATCCATTAGATTTGATTTGACGTCGTACAGACTGATAAAACTTAAAACTAAAACTTGTTTAATCTAAACCTCTTATTCTGTTCTTTCTGAACTGGTTTTGTCAAGGCGAAGTGGACTGTACTGGGCGGGAGCGAACGGAGCTGGCTAGCGTCAATCGAAATTCTAAACTCAGGAGCTCTGAAAAGAGTTGGGGGTTTGACGCTGCTCTCCGGGACACCAATGTACATGCGGTAGAAATGGCGAATGCTGCCGACTACACTAAACACTACTTTCTCGATACATCTATACAAGGTTTCTCGATACATCGATACAAGGTTTTTTACAGCTGCTGCTGCTGCGAAAGGATTCTCAGTTGGATTCTTACTTAACTTTACCCGTAAAGTACCAGGACGAACGAATTTTTTTCAACAAACTCGTTCTCAGCAATGCCTGATCCGATTTTCATAAACTTGGATTTTTATTCAAGGCGAATAATTGGTAGATGTAAATATGTCTGTTTTTGTAATTTTTTAACCAGTTTGAGCAAATGTTTTAAATTTTCACGCGAATCGGTGCAGCAAATGATATCGGATAGATGAAATATGATTAGTAAGACTGAATTTAGATATTTCCATAACGTATGGCTACGATATTATCGGTTCCGAGAGTCCCTAAAATCGGTTCTGTAGGACGTAGAAATATCTCCCTGCACTTTGGTCAGATAGCGTATAGGGCGTCGTTGTGTCAATTTGGACGTGGCACATTTCGAGTATGAGAGAGTGATTGCAGTTTGCTCAAAAGTGCCTGAGTAAAATGCAAGTACTTTCGATGATTACCCGTAGTTGTTACAGTGAAGATATACACCCATATTCTCGTTTATGTCTGGACGTGTTTGTCATACAGAAACATTTTTATTTGATTTTGTGTGGTGTATGGGTTTCGGGCATATGGGTTGGCCATTATCGGTGTCATTACTTAATTTTGTTGCTAAGGAATCCAATTTTAACTGACAAAGGGGCGCTTGGAGGGTGTTTCAACACTCCGAATGGTACACAGCAAAAACATAATTTTGATATCACATCAATCCACATTGATTGTGTCAAAAATATTGCCAAAAGGACTAAATTATCATTAAATAATACAGTGCATAAACTGACATTGCGTTGCTTTTACTCCATTTGTTTATTTTTGTTTTTTTTTTATGAGTTTATTTTTCCAGGCTCATTTGCCGTAGCTTTGCGGAGCCGATATTCATTGTTTAGGTTACAAAATTTCTTAAAACTAACGTTAGTAAAGCGGGGGCCGATTACTCGCGGCTATCTCGAGGTTAGGGGTAACAAATTGTTACAAATGGATGGCAGGGCAGGGATTGAGAACACAAGGTTTGGAGAGCAATGTGCTCTTGATCTAGAACTAAGCGACAAACTGATGAAAAAGACAAACATGGGGGTACACCGATGGGCAGCCAACAACTTGGGAGAACACAAGATGACACTAACTACTAAATCCTCAGATCTATCCGTTTTAAAAACACATAAATTAAATTGCAATAGTCGAGATCTCGGCTCGCCAAGATGTCTCTAACGGGCCATCTCGGCTCGCCAAGATGTCTCTAACGGGCCGCATAGGTTGTTTTCCTCGGGCCCTGAGGGATGCGGATCACTCGGATCTAGCAACACAATGGAGGGTGCATGACCAAAGCACGTGGTCGATATCGTGATAGCCACTACCACAAGCGCACAAATTGCTGCCTGCGAGCCCGATTCGGAAGAAATGCGAGTCTAACGAGTAGTGATTGGACATGAGCCTTGACATGACACGTATAAAGTCACGGCTCATGTCCAATCCTTTGAACCACGGCTTGTTTGATACCTGTGAGAGAATAGAATGTAACCATCTTCCCAGATCACTCTCATTCCATTTTTGTTGCCAGTTGGTGAGGACGTGCTGACGGGTAATTGAGAAAAATTCCGCAAAGGCGATTTGTCGATCAAAAATATCGCCTTCCATAGCACCCACCTTAGCTAGCGAGTCTGCTTTCTCATTACCCGGAATTGAGCAATGAGATGGGACCCAGACTAAAGTGATGGTATAGGAGCAGTTAGATAAAGTACTCAATTTGGCTCGGATTTCGGTCAGGAAATACGAGGAGTGCTTCATAGGCCTCATTGAACGAATAGCCTCCAATGAGCTAAGACTATCCGTAAAAATGAAATAATGGTCAGAAGGTAGTGAGGCAATTTGCTAAACTGCGTAGAATATGGCTGGCAGTGGAGGAAGTATTTCAACCGATTGACTGGCATCAAGAACCGCGGTCGTTAATTTTCGCCAGTCAATGTTTTTCGTAAGATCGTACGCGATGTCGACCGAGCGAGTAGAAGATGAACCATTGGTAATAGAAATTTTGATTGGCAAATGGTCACTACCGTAGGGATCTTGAATTACTTTCCACGAGCAATCCAACGATAGTGAACACGAACAAAGTGAGAGGTCTGATCTGCTTACTTTTGCTGGAGGTTTGGCTACTTGTGTTGCTTCCCCGGTGTTCAGAATTGTCATTTTGAAGAAGTCGCACATGTCGTATATCAAGGTTGAACGGTTGTCGTCGTACATTTCCCCTCAGCCTGTACCGTGAGAATTAAAATCTTCCAAGATCAACTGTGGAGATATCCGCGAAACTTTGACGAGAAATCGCAGTTTTCGGTGGAAGATATACTGAGGCATTTACCTCGAATGTTAACCTGACATGCAACAACTTCAATGCCTGTCACCGAAGGCAGATCGATTCTGTAAAAGGAATGGAGCTGGTTGATTTCGAGAAGCACCCTTCCATAGGAAATAATGTTGAAATCGTGGAAAGAAAGATCGTTGTCTAAAGAGAGCCATGTTTCACAAAAGGTAAATGCATCAGAGAGTGAGTTGTGAACTAAAAATTTAAATGCGTCAAGTTTTGGTATAAGGCTTCTACAGTTCCACTGAAGAACAGAGAAGATCATATCCCCGACCAATTATCCATCAAAGGATATGATCGATGCAAGGTAGGACCACCTAGAAGCTAGTTGCTTCAAAAGAGTTTTCACCATTGGCAGCACTAAATTAATAATGCTCCTCGTTGAGTCCGAGGGGGGCGACACATCTAAATCTCAATTTTAGATGCTCAAAAAATCTCACACTAGCGAATCAATCTTCGAAAAATCTTCTTGCATTTCTCGCATCTACTTGCATCGCGCATCATCTTTTTGCAGGAAATGTTCAGAATCGTCATCAATCTTCTTTCTATCTACTCAGCGTGCAGCTAGCCACAGCACAACACAATCTTTCCTGCAGCGTAGATAGAGTCGCCCCCCTCGGTTGAGTCAGAGATATTGAATATACTGAAGAAGCTATCCACAATACCAGAAAACGTGAACATGGGAGCATGTTCTTGCTGATTATTCAGCTGATTTTCTGGCCGAAAAACTGGAACATCTGGGGTTTTAGATGAGCCTGGAAGTGACGGAAAGTTCTTGTAATAATTACAAGGTTTAAAACCCGGTGGAATGGGTTTCGGTGCATTTCCGTTACCTCTAGATTTTTCCAAGTGGAAGGGCGGTCCATACAAGTGGCCTTTTCGGTGGTGTGTTTTTTTGGCTCGTTTTCTTGTATTGCCTTTAAAGACAAACGGACTACCCTCACCGCCCTCTGAGTCAGAGTCTAGATCATCAACTGATTCAAGGGCCTCTTTGGGGAAGTCGAAATTAAATTAATCGTTTTCCATATGATCGCTTGTATGCAAAAGTTGTTCCCTGTAAATCATTCCACACCAATGAGTGCGCCATAGAGTGTGACAAATCAAATCACTATATAAATTATATTGCCTATTGTGAATATGACATTAGTTGAGCAAAAAAAAAATTGGATCATGGATTAAATCTGGCAGAATATTGTGGAGCGTAGAGAAGCAAAAACCGCGATAGAGCGGGTGAGAACCAGAGGAGCCAACAACGAAGCCTGTCAACGGTAGTCGGCTCTAGAGAAGGAAGTAAACCGCAATTGCAGACGGGACAAGCGAGTGTGGGTGGACTCCCTGACCGACGAAGGAGAGAATGCCACAACAGCCGACGATATCCACCTCCTCTGCGATATATAACAACGTCTGATTGGAGCAAGGATGAATCCAAAGATGCCTATGAAATATCCTATGATTTGATATGCAGTATGTTTCATTTCCATATGGGCCTCAGGCACGGTATTACCAAGCCGGAGGCGGCGGGTTCGGTTCCTGGTCCGATCGAGGGAATCTTTCGGGTTGGAAATCGACTTTCCTGGGCATAGAATATCATTGTGCTTGCCATACAATATATAAATTCATGCATTGGTAGACGGGAAAAAAATTCGTTCTAAAATTCGTCAACCTCCAGTCACGATTTTCGGAACAAGTAAATTTTTCGTTTACGAAAGTACACCATGAATAAAAATCATGAAATCGTGAACATTGTTCCACAAAATAAACGTAACGCCTGCAAAGGCAATAAAAGTCATAGAATCGTGAACTCTGTTCGGAAAATCATGATCTAGTTCTGGCAAACGTGATTTATGTTCATGCGTTGTGATTGATACCATGAACCTTGTTCTCGAAAACGGGAACATGGTTCATGAACTGTAAAATGTCAACTTCATTATAATTAACAATATTTTAATCGGAGTGAGCAAGCGAAACGAAAACAACGGAAGCTTTGATGCAGGTTTTACCCGCATCCCAAACTGGCAGCAGGTATCTATCCAGCAGATGGAATGAAGGAGAAACAATTCGACAGTGAGCATGCATAAGGGCGTATGCGCGATGATCGATTCTCTTAATCGATTTTCTCTTTGCATTGCTACAGCTAAGCAAAACAATTTTCTAGAATTCGTTCACTGCAGAGTTGTAACAGGTT